ATAAATTTTTTGAATCAAAACATTTTTATGTTTGTATTTATTATTTAATAAAATCTAAATTATTTTAGAATTTTTTAGAAAAATTATGAAATTTTACAAAATTGGGTTAAAGAAAACTTAAAGAAACATTTATTTAATTAACTATAGTTAATTAATAATAAATTCCAATAATTAAACGATTTATACGAAAAAAATATAAAAATTACGTTACGATTTCGGATTTACGGAACAATCGATTCGTCGCATTTACAACTTTTCCCGTAATTCGACTAATCCTAATCCGATCTCGATGAAACTTTGACAGTTTAATGTCCTTTTAGTGTAGATTCCAAATATGCAATTAGTTTTGCGATGCGATGATTGGTTGAGGCTGTGCGAGTGGTGCGTTTTGGCTGGAGAAACGAACGAATTGCGGCTTGCGGACGGCAGGAGCGAGGCGTTCCTTTGGGTGGAGCCGAGTCGGTTCGTACGAATAGCGTGAGCTTTGAGGCGTAGCGATGTATTGGCGTTACCTCCGCAATCGATAGGAGAGACGGCGCGCGACCTTCAAACGACCTTAAATGAGTCAGAGACTCAAAAGCCGAACGGAAATTTCCACTGCTTCAAAAGGCAAAAAACTGGTGGAGCGACGTCGCGTCTGCATTTTAACTTAATTAATAGAAATTACCAATTTAAATACTTAGTTTATTTAATTATTACCACATTTAACAATTATTTATTTATTTATAAAACAATACACTTAATATTACCAAGCAAAAATTTTATCTATATTTGTTTAATCTCTAATTATTATCACACCAAACGTTTTTTCTTTCATTCTTTTCATACCGATTTAAGAAATTACGAAATTCTTACCATCTTTAATCCTTGTACCAATTACAATTAATTACCGTGGATTCCGTTTCATAAATAAGCTTGTACCCTTCTCGTATTCAATCATAAATGTATGAAAGCACCGTTTTTTTTTTATGAAAGAACGCGTTGATTTCAGTAGAAACACATATTTTTTTTGAACATACATCAATTAGTTAATTAAAATAAGAA